GTGGGCAAGGTAAAAAAAAAAAAAAAAAAAGGAAAAACCTACCGCTCGTTTAACTCCTATCTATTTGAATATCTTGCACCAAAAACATTAAGCCTTACTTCCACTCCCTTTTCAATTCCAGTCCAGAAAACCACTGATTTTGAAAACTACCAACATTCACTATTCAAATCCCTCAGTGATGGGGGACATCAGCATACCGCTTGTATAGATGAAGACACAATCTGCATTAAAGCTCCAGTCTGTTCAGGATTTTAAGGTGAATCAAAAACCTGCTCATAATCTTGTCAGCGACATYAAATGACTGGTGTGTTCAGAGGAACGCTTCTTTCATCCTCTTGTGAGTCATATAAAAGGGAACACCTACAAGCTGACAGGAAACACAATCAGAGAGCAGAGGTAGAAATAAATAAACAAGACAATTAAAGAAAACACCAACAGTGAAGGGACTGCAGGGAACCAGAGAAAAGGCAGCTGATAGGAGAGTGAATATGTCTTACAATCGTCCCTCAGTGAAGCAGTGAGGAGCCCGGGGTTCCAAACCAACAGCCCCCGGTGCTTCTCGTTTTCTGCACTGACAAAACAGACGAAGCTAAAAATATTAGTAAGCCTAATTACAGACGAAACAAAAACACAAACATAGGGAAGCAGCTAACATCCCCTGAAGGCAGGTCTTTTGTGCTTTTATTCCCACCCCCACCAATAGACAGAGACGAGCAGAATACACGRCACTAGTGTGCTATGGCTGAGCATCATTGTGCAGAGTCAGCGTTCAGCCGAACTCACAGTAAATAACACAACACAGACGGAGCACGAGGAGCCTCTCATGTTGTCGCATTAAACAACCATGAGATCATCACACAACGACCCAAACCCAAGCTAATACTGCCAACATTTTTAGATTGTTTCAGCTTTTTAGCAGCATGTAAAGAGTTGGTGTCACTAAAAAGACAAAAAAAAACTTGAGTATATTAATATTAAAATAGTTTGTGTTGTTTACAAAAGCACTGCATAAAAACATCACACCAATGCCTCTCCTTCTCAAACAGCCGTGACACTTTTGTATCTGAGTGTGCAAATCCTCTGCGGTCGGTGCGTCGCACTCTGCAATGAAAGTAGGTCTGAGGCCACACACAGACCATATGTCGGAGAGGACACGCGTGCCTGTTTTACAGAGCGGATATCTGGTCACTTCTCRTCCTGTGACCTCGGTCTGCACTCRGGGCATTTACAGAATTATACAGATGGGTGGACATGGAGCCAAAACACACAAGGACATAGATCCACAGGCAAATTAAAAAGGGAATATATACAGAAGCTGACCTGTTCTAGTCTGGGCAATGTGTCCACAAAATAAGAAAACACTGAGACTGCAGAYGACTGTGAGCTACACGTCTATTTCCTCAAAGAAAACAAAGACTGGCTATAAAAGTTATAATAAATCAACTTTTTCTCCGGGAGGCAGCTCGCAAATGAAGAAGCTAACAAGAAATGCAAAGTCCTGATGGCTCAGCGTCAACATAARCTGCTGTCTGTGTTTGAATCTGGAATCTTTGATGCATGCATTTTTTCATCTATCTAAAGGCAAAACTGTCACAAGCTTTGCAGCTCATTAGCTCTGTTCTGTTTCATTATATCAGGCAGGAAATGACAAGGTTAAACAAGATGATGTGGTATCTGGTCAAAAATTAAATTATTGAAAATATTAAAAAGGAACATTTGATCTGATGGACGGATCGGAGAATCATCCTTATGAGAGCGTTGCTTTGGCAGGTTGTTAGAGATGGATGGATGGATGGATGGATGGATGGATGGATGGATGGATGGATAGCAAAAAAATCCTTCAAGAGTCCATATAAACCC